GATAAACATTTAGTAAAGAATAAAAAAAAGCAAAGATTATTCTTCAACCTATTAGATTTTACAATTATTTAATCAAGATTGCTTCAGATAAATAGTACTTTGCTACAAGCTGGCATTAAAAGTTTAAAATCAAGTATAAATATTTCAATTATTTCAATTATTGTCTTTGTTTATCTAACTGGTGTCTCTTTTATCAATAATATTATAACATTTAAGCATGTATCCCTCTACATCACTAAACAAAACATTCTATTATGACTTAGTGGGAATGTTTTTGGTACCTCTAATTTTACAATTGGTTTTCTAACATGTCTAAGTTGTATAATGAGCAGTGTTTATCGTATTTGCTTGCAGCTAAGTATGCATGATCATCTAACATATTACATACAAGTTCGTAGATTGTACATTGCAAAATATAACCTGAAAGAGTCAAACTAAATTGATCTATAAAGAATATCAATTAAAAAACACTTTCTATTCTGGAACAAGAATATTAAAGAAAAAGTGATATGACTTGAACCTACTAAAACGGCTATTTTCATAGCCACATATTTTTTTAAAATATTATTGGTATATAATTAGCTCCTAGAGTAAGTTCAATAAATGCTTCATGTATATTTAATAGTTTTATGGTGTAATAACTTTATAATAAAACAACAATAAAAGATTGAATAATAAAAATAATATAATTGTCTTTTAATTTAAAATAATAATGACAACACGGCTATTTTACATATATAAAAAATATTTATTTTTTAACTAATCTAATAACATCTTTTTTTTTTTTTTTTGGCATGACTTAATACTATATTACTACCACTTTATAATACCTGTGTAGCTAAATACATTTTAAGCTACTAAAAGTATTTTTTATTTTGTTATTATTGAAAGTCGTTAAATGATGGGTTACACTTGCAAGCATTAAGTGATTGTTAGTGTTGGAAATAATTTTCAAATAAGCTATTTCATAATGTAATAAAGTTTTTAATACAGCAAAAACTTATTACTTAGACAGCAAGGTTAACACTTTTTAATAAATATTTTGCCAACTTTATATGCTCAAAAGTAAGTTTAGGTAAAATACAAAGGTCTTCATAGAATATATAAGCAATGTGGTTCCACTGTATAAACTTACCATCCTTACATTTATCTTTTTTTCCATATGTTTTAAGTTGGATAAGTCATATTTAAATAAGACAGTAACGAGTTGTTCTATTTTAATGTGGTAGATTAGGCATAAACGAATCATTTAAAATGCTTTTTCAACAACTTGCGATTTGCATGAACATCGCAAGTTACAAACAACAAGTTTTAAGAAATTTTGATTGCATTCTAAAGCAAAAGAAACATTAGTCATACAGTGGCACCAGTTGTAAAAGTCAAGTATATCCTCTAGATTTGTCAAGTATATCATCATACACTGCAGCTGAATTTGAAAATAAAAAAATTAACACAAATATCTTATTTTAGTTAAAGATAACCTTAGATTTTGAGATATTATTTTTCTGCATTCAACAAAATAGATATTAAATTCTAGCTTAAAATCAAGATTTAAAATAATTCTGCAATTTTCTTATAGTACACTGTACTTTTTTTTATTACTGAATTAAATTTGATTTAAGTATGATAGTGATGCAATATTTGGTAGCAGACTTTGGCATCATCTTTATTGCATCAGGTATATTTTTTTTATTTGCTATTATATAAATTGATATACAGCATAATAAAAATAAAATTTTATATACGAGCTTTTGAATTTTAGTTTAAAAAGCTTTGATATACTAGCTTTTTTTAAAGTATTTAAAAAAATCCTATTTTTTTTTCTTACTATTAAGTTTTTTACTTATTAATAAAAATAGAAAAATATTTTTGCACAACATTTATTGTTAGTATAGCACTTGTAAAAAAGGTAGAAGTTCTACTGTAGTGTAGAATATGTGATATGCACATAGTAAGGTAAAATCTTTTACCTTCTAAAAAATTGTATCTTTAAAAGTAAAATTTTTTTTCCTTGTAAGGTAGAAAATTAAACAACAAATCACTATTTTTAATATAATTTAGGTAATAATTAAGATATAATTTTCTCTCTAAGGTAGATAAATATGCTATATTAAGGGTATAACACATATCTTTAAAGATACCAACATCTAATTTAGCTTTGAAACCATTCAAAATGAAAAAATTGTACCTTATTTTTTCTTGTTTCTGGAAAAGATACCAGCATAGTGTAAAGAGTGATATATAAATTATCAACTAATCTAGCTAAGTAAACTATATATAGAATATAGAGTTTATTAAGCTATATTAGCTAACACTTTAAATAAATATACTCTGAATATAATACAAATTATTTATACCCATATACATCCATCAAGTTATACAGTTGATAAAATATTTGCATCTATAACATATTTTCATATAGTGCATATAACTTAAATGCTTATATGATATAAGCTATATGGTTGAATAAGCATATTTATACCAATACAAACTCTGTCACATAACTACATTTACCAACAGTTGATGTCTTTATTTTATGCTATATTCATCATTTTTATTCGGAATACGAAATATAAATGCAATCCAAAATATTAACTTGAAACTGAATAACCAAGAAAATCACAATTTGTTCATGCCATTTCAATATTTATCCCAGAATATATGTAACTTATCTATAGCGAAATACAATGTTTACAATTTGATGCACTCTAAAGTAGGCTGAGCACTAGTATCGAGAGGAACTTAAGTGTTTTAAGAAAACGGCCCGCGTTTCCAGACTAGTTAAATACTATGACTATGATAAATCATAAGATTCAAGTGATAAATTAAAAAAAAAAAAACATTCTTTGTAAATAGTTCTGCCCTATCTTTGGAAGAGATAATAAGATCAGACCTATGTATGAGAGATGGAATGTTAGACTTAAAATTGTTAAAGATTTATTAAATTTTATTTTTTTATTTATTAAATTGTCAAAGAAAAGCATTAGAAGAAAACCATTCAGTGAGGCTTGACTTAAAACCAGCAAGAAAAATAAAAACTTTCTCATTTACAATCTGGATTCATGCTTCCTGAATCCAGATTGTAAATGAGGCTCGACCAGAGATAAAGGATGTTAGCTCAAAGACCATCACAAAGAAAATCATAAAAATTATTCCAGTCAGTCTTAAGATAGTAGTATAAAGTGTGATGATGATGATGATGATGATGATGATGATGATGATGATGATGATGATGATGATGATGATGATGAATCTGGCATAAAAAAAGTATGAGATAAATGATCATATGAGATCATAGCATAATCTGAGCTAGTGATCAAACTTTTACTTTTTATTTGTATATTTTCTATATATTTTCTAAATCTATTTTTTATATTTTCGGCTGTTTATTTGGTTCGTTTTGCAGATAAAATTTTGATTTTTTAATTAAATGAATTAATTTAAATTTTAAATTATTTTATAATAAAAAATTCAAAACTTTTTTATGCAAATTATACAGACAGCATCATTGAAAATAATAGAAATAAAAAGAGATTAGCTGAAATGAAATTGACTGATTTTTTTTTCCATTTAACTCTCTTAAATTCAAAGGAGAAAGTTTCTTATTTTTGAAATCTCCAGAAGCGCTTAAACAAGAAAAAAACAAGCTTCAAATATTAGTTAAGTTTAATTCTTGCAAAATTATGAGAAAAACATTTTAGCATAGCCTTTAAAAACTTCATTGTCAAAGATTAACAAAAGGTTGTGGTTACT